CGTCACACTAGAAATAGCTGACAATAATTAGAAAGCCTGCTTCTGCCAGTATTGCACACATTTTTAATACCTTCCTAAGTATTATGGGAGATAATACACAAGGTCTTTAGAATTCTAGTCATGCCACAACAAGCCATGGAAAGGACAACTAGACAATAGCCCCAAACTGGACTGTGACAGGCTAATTATTGTGGCTTCATTAGAAAACCTCTTTTTACATAGGTCACCTGGGAAGTGTAATTAAAAATGCATTATTGGTGTATTTTTTATTGAAGCAATTAAATTAAAAAGCCAAAAAAATAATTATATGAGGAGCAAATAATAATGTTGGTCAACAGCGTTTATCTAAGAAAGAGAGAACGCGTTAGTGGTTCATTAGCAGTAAATGTGTTAACGGGAATCTGTTTGAAAAATGAGCCATAGAATGGCTTTTAAATACGCAGATTAAAGGATTTATAATGTCAAGTTTAACACAGAAATTACAGATAGTATTACATAACCATGAGTAATAGCACCTTTAATCTGACTTAGTAAAATGATTTACATCATATCTTATACTGCTTTGGTTGTATGAGTATTATATGTGCTGCATCTCAGATAGATAATTTCCCTTGTATTTTTTACACACTTATGGATCTGTTCTTCCTGCTTCCTAATTATGTGGTACATCTAAATAATTAGATGTTAAAATATGTATCTTCTAGGGGCAGAATGTTTGTCTTGGATATCTGTTCTATGTAGGAATACAGAACATGACACCATTTATTTAGGAAAATTTTCATAAAGCCCTAAATGTATCACACCAAATCATCCCTCTCTCCTCTCAAAACTCTCTTGGTGTTTCTTTACATCATCATCATCATCATCATCACCACCACCAGCACCACTACTATAATTATTATAATCACTAATAATAAATGCTCTTTACTTGCCAGGAACTGAACATTGCCTATATTATTTAGAAGTTTAATTCTTCAAATAACCTTGAAAGACTGATCTTTTATCTCCATTTTTTAAGTGAGGATAATCAATAAAATTTAATCAATTTCTCCGGATATATCTATAAGCATTTCACTCTCTTCAATAGGCTATCCTAAACTCGCAATAATGTTTTCCTCTACCCTACTCGAAATTGCCCATATTTTAAAACTTGGTATTTTTTACTGAGAATTCTTTGAACATATAAAAGAGATAGATAAGCATCTACTAAGTAAGACTCTCACATGCAACCCTTTCAATCCCTTTGGGGAGGAAACAGAGACGTGAGGGAGAGAGGAACAATTGCAGAGGGCTGTTAATGCCAGGGCACACAAGTGAATGAACAGATAAATGATGCAAACTTGTTGTGAAACGTGGGACTCTCAATGCAAGAAAACACTTTTATGTTGACAGAAAGAAAAAGTGTTCTATTTATTCTCTATGTTAAGATTGAGTGTTGATCTAGAACTAGTTATTACCTACTGACTCTAAAGTATTTAATCTTGACATATTATGATTAGTTTAATTAATAGTTTTGGTATTGTTATGTTGCATTAGATTCTTTATTAGTGTTATTATTTTTACTATCAGTAGCACCCAATTTTGAATACTTGCTGTAAACCAGGCCTTGTGCCAGAGGCTTTACATGTATTATCTCTAAGCTTCCACACATCACTGAATCAAATTATTCTTATTTTAGAAATGAAAAACTTATAGTTCAGGAGGTCAAGTGACTTTTCCAAGGTCACATGGTTGACAAATTGAGGAGTTCAGATCTTAGGCCCCAGTCTATCTGAACCCAAATTGCATGCATTTTCTAGTATTCCACCTTGATTATGAAAAAAATTATAAAAGGAATAAACAGAATTTTGGATTTTTTTTCACATAGAAACCTTCCTTAAGCCACATTTTAAATTCAAATTCATTCAAAATTCATAAAGCTCAAATAGCCAAAAAGGTTTTCTGAGTACCATATATTGATAATTAGACTTATTGGGATAACTATCAGAATTACAGGGTTTTGAGTTTATGAAGAAACGGATGAACTAGAAACACTGTGAATTCACTGATAAGTATCTTGCTTTACAGTGGGGTTGTTTAATTAGAAATCCAAAATCCATTTATGATATGCATTAACTGTTACTGGAGCTATTAATCAATACCCATGTCATCAATATTAATTAAATACATGAAAAGATACTGATTTGTCATTTGCAAAATATGACATACTAAAACCCTAAATTTTACTATAAGAACTTATTTTGAACAGCATGTTAGTTTTTTAATATGTCATATTTTAATAGTGCATTTATTGTTTATAGTAACAGTTGCTCTAAATTTTATAAAACTAATTGCATATATTGATTATCAGAACACTGTATAACACAATCAAAAGAGGGAGACTACCAGTCACTAGGTAACACCTCTGTAGGGTTTTTCTGTAAAAACCTCAAACTAATCTCTATGTTTTGGCAAAAGATGAGCTATTAATTAGAGTGGAGTATGGGATAATGGAGCTAATACAATAATGTTAGATCTTGGAGCATATGGCAATAAATTGTAGGATTATAATGAAAGAGAATTAAAAAGCTTGTTCCCCTTAAGGCAAATAACTGGTATTTTAAGAAATAAGGGAACTGGATAATCATTGGGTCAATACATTCTCTAAATGGTTATCTAGCCCCTCATTACACACTGTTCTACTCTCCTTTAACCTAACTGGAGAAAAGATAGCATTGCTGTGGATAGTCACAAACCACCACACACATGTTTAGAGCACCCAATGCATTTAGCACTTTAGAAGTTCAAAATTAATTGTTAAAGACCAGGTTCTAGATCTCAATGGCTTTACACCAAAATTTGGAATAAACAAACTTGAAATTTACAACAGTCAGGTTGATGTGTCTATATCATCTATTACCTCACCTGTCATCTGTGTCTGGTCTTATGCTAATGTTTTATAAACAAGTCCCAGGACCAGCCCAGTACAGCAAACTGTGCACAAAGGAGCTGAAGTTAATGGAATTCTTTCTGAGCCAGCCATTAACACATTAACTTTTTCATCTATTTATTTGGAGGAGAAGGAGGGGTCATTTCTGGTCACCCCTTAGGCCTTCTACTTAATATCTGCAACTCTTCTTTTTGACCTTCAAATTTTATATGGCTAAAAATTGCTAAAAAATCATTTTCTTGACATAACTGGCTCTGATTCCCAGACTCAACATAAATAATCAGAAAGCTACCTAGAATCTACTACATACCAGACATTACATGCAAAGTGCTTTATGCATCTCATTTAATCTTCACAGTAAACTATGAGGTAGGTATGTCTATTATCCTTATTTTACAAAGGGAAAAAAAAAGAAGCTCAGAGAGGTTAAGTAGGGCCACACAGCTCACATGTGGTAGAGTTGGAATGCAAAACTACATCTTTTGATTTTAAACCCTTGCTCCTTTTCATTATGCACCATTGCCTTGATCAGACCACAAAAAAAAAAAAAAAAAAAAAAAAAAAAAAAACCTTCTTTGGACTGACATCCCAGTAAACAGATCCTATTCTTTAGGATTGGTTTTATAGGTAATACTGATTACGAGAAGTTCACACACCTATCCCCAACTCTTTCTGTCATGAAAGAGAACAAGGCATTCAATTAGTAAATCATACTGGGTCCTACAGAAACATCTAGAATGCCCTAGCTGAAGCTGGGAGTCTATAATTCTGGGAACCTTGGTAGGTATAAGGCTAAAAAAATAAAATTCAATTAAAAAGTGTTAAAAATTATTTTAAAGTGGCAAAAATTTCTTATATGACAAGAGATAGAGATTCCAGGGCAAATTCATTATGAGCAATTCACCCAAATGGTTCTCTTAGAGATACAAATAAAAACCAAAGACCATCTACCAAAACGGAAGGAAGAACTCTTTCAGGTATGGGAATATAAATATTGTCTGTTTGAGACCAAGGGAAGTTTAGAGGAAATATGTCTTATCTAGGAGGCATGAAAGTGTTGAGAAGATGTCATGACATTATTGAACAGGATTTAAAAAGGGTAAGGGCCAGAAGCTGATGGATCAGTCATCATAAGAGATTTTGTGAGACTTTAGACAGAAGTAGAACTTCTTCAAAGTACAGCCTCTGAAGTGAGGCAAAAAATTAGGGAAAGAAATAGTTTAGTCTTCCCTCATCTGCTCCAGCACCTTGGTGTTGACAGGCCATTTTGCATGGCATCTCTTTTTTTTTGTTGTTTTGTTTTTTACATCATATGTCCTATAGAAAAACAGTGAATTGGAGATTTTTCTTTCTCTCTTTCTCTTTTTTTAGTTATTTATTTTAGGTTTCCTTGATATTGATTCCATAATTCACAAATGATGATAAACATTTTTTACTCTTCATTTATGTATTTTTCATGGATTAACATAGTACTATTATGGTGATTCTTCTAAAATTGTGAAGCCATTAACACAGTGAGTATTTCAGCAGCATTTGAGAAGGATGGACTTGAGAAAAAGAGGCTAGAAGGAAAGCGAGTAGCTAAGACGCTATCCTGATAGAATTATGGCCAAGACGAGGGCAGCAGCTAAGGCCATCAAAAGGAAGGAGTGTATCTGAGAGATTAAAGAATTGGCTGGTCTCTGTGCTATTGGGAAAAAAATTAATATTCTTTGAAACCTCAAATCAGCATGACCAGAAAATTGGTCATATTTTAAAAATAGATACTAATCTATTTACCCCATCAAGGTAAAATAAATTGATTGAAATTACCAGTTTACAAAAGATTCAGAGATTAATGAGCACATTAAGGAAAATTAAGATATTTAAATGTACCTCTATGCACCATCTCAACTTAGTGGTGTCAAAACAATTCCTAATATTTAATATGCTTATGATACTTTCCCAGTTTTCAAAGTGGCTTTACATATGTTACCCAATTGGTTCTCACAATGACTCTGTGAGATAAATAGTTGTAGTGATATCCAGCATGTTTCCAGCACTTTGCAGATTGCCTAACACCATTACTTACACTGCTGATGCCCATATTTCCATCAGTCATCGTATTGCTCTCTTCCGGGGTTTCTATGTTAACTGAAATACATTTTCAATATTAGTGCATCAGATTTATTTTACTGAATGTGGTCTATCATCTACAATGTACAGATATTCCACGTCAATCCTTTAAGTTAGATTATTTTTATCTTTGGCATTTTTTGACATGAATGTTCTATATGATGATTACAGTCCATTTCTAAAAACTGATAGGAACATTTATCTTTACAAGAAACTGCCAAACTCTTTTTCAGGATGGCTGTACAATTTTACATTCCCACAAGTGATGGAGGGGTGATTCAGCTTTCCTGCATCCTCACCAGCTTTTGATGTTGTTACTATTTTTTTATTTTATTTTAGCCATTCTGACAGATGTGTAGTCATATCTCTTTGAGGTTTTAATTGGCATTTCCCTAATGGTTAATGATGTTACACATCTTTTCATGTGCTTATTTGCCATCTGTATATCCTCTTAGGTGAAATGTCTGTTCATGTCTTTTGCCCATATTCTAATTGGATTGTTTGATTTTTAATGTTCTGTTTTGAGAGTTCCTCATGTATTTTACACACAAGTCTTTTATCCTGTATGTGGTTACAAATATTTTCTCCCAGTCTTGTAGCTTGTCATTTCATCCTTCTCACACAGGATTTTGCAAACCAAAAGTTTTTCATTGTGATGAGATCCAACTTATCAATTTTTCCTTTTGCAAGCTTAAGCATTTATCTAAGAGAAATGAAAACATGCTTACACAAAAAACCCTGTACACACATTTTCATAAAAGATTTGTTGTGTTTGTATTTTTTTGGTCGTAATCAGAAATTAGAATAGATTTAATGTGTTTCCCCCCACCCAGAACCTAAGTCCAAAAACAATCTCACCCAGTTCTTGTAATGCTTTTCATCATTTCTATCAATAGACTGGATTCTTCCTAGAGGGAAAAAAAAAAAACAGTTGTCTATCACATGAAATTCAGTAATGTTATTATATTTTGTAAAAGATTTGGTTTGAAGTAAAGGGTGATTTATGGTCATATGGAGAATGATTTTGATTAATAGCATTTATTTCAAAAATAATGACTATATTTGATATCGGTTCAACAATATTTATTAAGCATCAACTATATGCAATACCCAAGACATCAAAAATACATGATCTCTTGTAACTACTTAGTCCATATCAGGGTAGAGATATAAATAAAGCATTCAGTGAGGTGTGATAGAATTGGGCTGGAGGTTCTGAAGGGTGAAATTAGTAATGCCTGGAGGGTAACCAGGGAATGCACTACAGAGCAAGGGTCACTTGAATCTGGTCTTGAGTTACTGTGTGGCAGTGCATCTGGTTGACAAGGGAAGAACATTTCAGTCCTAGGCAAAAGTATATCAAAGTGTAGAGGTACCAAATATGACATATTTAGGAAACTGCAAATCTTTGCATATGACTACAGCACATGGAAATAAGTTGGGGTGCTATGGAAGATGAGATTATTTAAAAGGTTCTACATGAACAATATTTTTCCTGTAGCGGAGGACAGATCATGAAAATACTTTTGAGTATGTCAAGCTATGATCCTATATAATTTAAAAATATACCTTGAATGATCAAGGAGATGGGATTAGAGAAAAGTGAGGTTAGAAGCAATGAGACTAGTTAAAAGATTGTGCTCAAGTCTGTGTGTGGAATACGGGGCCTCTGGAAGTGACTGCTGCAGGGGATTATGCTGCAACATAATGCTGGGGAAATATTGAAGAGGTACTTAGAAAATAGAAATGACAAGATTGTGAACATATTGTGTATAGGTGGTAAAAAAGAGAAAGAGATCAAGAAAGACTCTCTGGGTTTCTGACTTGAATATACAGTCTTATCAGTTGGAGAGTGAATGTGGGGAAAAGGCAGTCCTACCTAAGGAGGAGAGTGCGAGGTCTGCAGTATCTCTTGGACACCTAGGTACTCTAGATCAGCATGTCAAAAACTGGAAAGTGCTAATGTGAATCATTTGAGGATCTTGTCAAAAGGCAGATCTTGATTTGAAAGCTCTGGGGTAGGGCCCAAATCTTTGCATTTTTAATAAGTTGCCTATGCCTACCCCTCCCCTGTCTACAAATGTTATCAAATGATTTTTTAAAGACTTGTTAGAACCTGCCAGAGTTTAGTATCAAAGAGCCAGTGTGAACTAGAAAGACACGAAGGCTGTTCTTCAAAACCCAAAGCTTTTATTTTATGTAATCAATGAAATGAATCTTATTCAAGGATATAATTGGTACATTTACAACAAGGCAGTCAGCACCTCATAAGAAGTCATGTTAAAATCAAAAATAGAATCTTTAAAAATTGTCAGGAGAAAAGGGAAATTCAAGAGAGTCAAATCTATCTCTTAAGCTAGAGAATTTTAGTTTCTAAGTTTGTTTTGTTTTGTTTTGTTTTCAACATTAGGCTGAATTCTCACGGGCTTAGTAGTTTTTAGTGTGGTCCTGCCAGAAAGGTGGTAACCTGCATGACCTCTCCACATCTTTCCAACCCTCAAATTTTATGGCTGTGCACTCCTCTATTTCTCCTTTTATCTGTCAAGGCTTAACTTGTCTTTTCCTATTGCATTCAACTCAACAAATACCAAGGATACTGCATTTTTGTAAGTTTGGTAATTGTTACTCATTTTCATTCAATTATTTTTTTTTCATCAAATTGTCTCAAACTGTTTTCAAGCATGTCTGAAGGAGAAACTAACCAAATGGCCACAAATGTATCCCATTTCAGGAAGCATGTACTAGTCTATATATTCCCTGTCTAATCATTTAAACACAGTCTTAGACAAGAAAATTATGAAGTTGATAGTAGAAAATGATCATTTATCAGAAGAGAATCAAAGGCATATTATTTTTAGCATTATTCTATCTACATAATTTTGTTCGATTGAATATTTGTTCTGGTGCCAAATTATGCCACAAGTTTAATTTTTACTGGAAACCATAAGGTAACTAGAAAGGAAAGAGTCCATACTAAAAAGTAATTATGATTACTGAGACATCCTAGCAAAGCCATAAATAATTATTTCCATTTTTCATTCAGATATTCCCAAAGTGTTTTAATATTTCACAATAATTAACTCATTAATCCTTACATCCTCTCTGTGGTATAGGTAAATAATCTGATTAACTTTGTTTTGCTTATTCTTTAAAACCGTAATTGTAAAATTACTTAGAATGCTGTTGTGTTTGAGGGTGGGGGGACTAGCAATTCTTGGTTCTTCGGTCTTTAAGAAGACCATTTACTACCAGGTCTCAGAGAATGAATTTCTGAGAAAGTGAAACTGACTGACGTCTCTTGTGTTTAGTTGTTTGTTGTTTTTCTTAGCAGACTATATCTTGCTTGCCTTCTTACTCTGTCAGCAATATTTCTTTCATAACCTGTTTACTGGACTTCTTTCTAGGTCACCCCATTACCAAAGTTTTCTCCTTGGACATTCTTCCCCATTGAACATTTTCTCTTAGTATTATTACAAATTGAATGCTTCCTTCAAGGCTGTGTATCTTATTAGGTGATATCAAATTTTATTCCATATTGGCTAATTTTACTTTAAAATTAAATTATTGTCTCTGCTCAGAGGTCACTAAATTTAATACTGCCACTTCTGTTTCCTTTCTGCTTTTTTTCTTGTGAGACCTCATTTGGATTACATTTAAGGAGAAATCATCTGCCCCAAACTATTTGCCCAAGTTGTATCTCTAGAGCAAAACCCACTAGCCCACTATCTGTGCTGATTTGATTTTTTTAAGCTGAAATTCTTTAATTACTTCTCCATATGCCAAACTCATTCTCTATTTTTCTTCTCAATTTCTTCTATAATGCAGTCCCTGGAGAAGAATACAAATGAATTTAACTTTTAGCCAAATAAGTCTCCCTCTTTTTTTTTCTTCTTTTGAATAATCAGCAAGACATTCCAAAGCTTTAGCTATCAGTACATTGCTAATTACACTAAATCATATAATTATAAAGATAAATAAACTTGGATAGGACTAAAAATACATGATAAAGTTTATGAGGGTATATGACAGAGATGGAATTCAAAAAGAAAGGAGAAAGAATCAGAAAGCATAATAGAAAAAGCAAAACAAACATAACTTTTCAAATCACCATGGGGTACAATACTGAAAAGATCAATGCTATCTTTTTTCCCATCCTTTTCTCCAAGACACAGGGTATAGAGAAAATTCTCAGAAGGGAGAATTTAGTTGTTTCCTTTCTTTTGAGGTGTGTATTAGGTTCCTGTTATTGCACATTATGTAAAAAACAAGATTAAAAGGATTATTTTAGGTTTCATCTGATATTGTCAACAACTAATCAAGGTATCAGAAGTTATATTTTAGTAAACTAGACTGGTGGATAGTTAAAGAAATCAGACTGTCCCATCAATCATATGTCTTCTCTACAGTTCTTTCTAATAAGTAATCAACTATATACTTACCTGTGTGTGGATCTGTACAAATATGGTTGTCTATCAATGCCAAAGTAGCAATCCACTTCTATATATATTACATGTTGTGATGGTTAATTTTATATGTTAACTTGGCTAGGCTAGGGTGCCACATTTGTTTGGTCAAATACTAGTCTAGATGTTACTATGGAGGTATTTTTTTAGATGTGATTAACATTTAAATCAGTAGATGTTGAGAAAACTGTATTGTCCTCTATAATGTGGGTGAGACTTAATCAGTTGAAGACCATAAGAGCAAAAAGCAGAGGTATCCAGAAGAAGAAAGAATTCTCTTCAAGATATCAATATAGTTTCAAGCCTACTGTCCTGCAGAATTTGGATTCAAGACTGTTATATCAACACTTAACCTGAGTTTCCAGCCTGTTAGATTGTCCAGTGGATTTCAGACCTGCCAACTGCCAAAACTATGTAAAATAATTCCTTAAAATCAGTCTTTTTCTATCTCTGTCTGTCTCTCTCTCCCTTTCACCTGTTTGTCTGTCTGTCTAGTCTGTCTCTTTCTCTCTCTTCCCTTTGTCTCTTCCTCTCCCCCTTGTTTCTTTTCTGGATAATCCAGACTAATACACATGCTATAAAAATATCTTTAGCTGTTGCAATACAATTTATGTGCACCTTTATATTATTTCATTCTATATTAGAAGAATAATAGTTTATATCTATCTGGATCAGTAAATATAAATAGAATAGTTTTTAAGTAATTATTTGTACAAAGATCCTGTTCTTACTGGCACTCTCCCAGACTAGGTCCTCATCTACTAATGCCCAAGCTATCTACATATTTTATTCCTCCTTCTTCAATATAACAATGCCAGCTTTATCTCACTAAAACACATGTATCAACAAGTTATTCTAATAGACAAAAATCTAGCAGTTCTATAATATCCAAGTGAGATAAAATCTCCCCTGACCAGTTTCTAGTACTGAAAGCCCTTTGCAATTAGATCTACCTCTATACCTTTGTTATCTGCACAATCCTACATTCTGGTCAGGCCAAATTTTTCATTGTTTCCAAAGATACCAAGTTCATTTGTGCCTATCTCTCTTTTTCATTTTCTTTCTTCCTTTCTCATTATAATGAGATTACTCTAACTCTTCTCTTACCTAAATCCTACACATTATTCAAAACCTATCCTGCTTCATATTTGCCTAAGATTTCCTAGACTATCCCAGATCACAATAAAAAAAAAACTCTGAATACCATTTATATGAGACAGAGAGATATTACAGACTATCATAGACTCATAAAGTCATAAATTTTGAAAGAACATCAGGGATCATCCATTCCAACGATTTTCAAAGGCATGAAATACCTTTACAACATTCTTAACAGGTGGTCTTTCATTCCCTTCCTCCATACCTGCAGTGATGGAGAATTCACTGCCTCCTGCCCATTCTATTTTATGAACAGCTCCAAGACTGCAACATAAACTTTTATATCT